TGAGGGGCCCTGCCAGAGCACAGGCTCTCCGCCAGCCCCGGGTTCAGCCCCAGTGTGAGCGGTGCCGGTGGTTTGAGGGCAGGCACAGCCCTGTTCCACCCAGCCTGGCCTTCCTCCCGCTGCAGGGTTACGTGACCGCCAGCACTCGGGGCATCGAGGGAGAGCTGCCGGCCTTTGGGGTCTTTCCGGAGCAGGGTTTCCCTCTGTGGCTATTCTTTACCTGTCTGCGGTTTGTTTTTGCAGAGCTGGACGAGGGGAATGTCTTACTGTCTCCACTCAGAAAGCGACTGGGATACTGGGCCAATATATGTGCGTGAAAATGGGAAGCTGCACGTGGTAAATCAGGGTGCAGGCGGCGTACGGAATGTCACTGCCGAAACAAGACCTTTTAGGCTGTTTTCCAGAGGATTTTCAGTGGAGCTTTGTATGAACAGGGAGGACGATAGGGCAAGGAGGCAGAGGACTGATCATTTCATCTTCACGTACACCAAGGAGGGCAATCTCCGGTACTCGGCCAAGTCTCTCTTCAGCCTAGTGCTGGGTTACATTTCTGACAATGTCGATCACATTGACTCGTTGATTGGTTTCCCAGAGCAGATTGCTGAAAAGCTCTTTTCAGCTGCAGAAGCAAGACAGAAGTTCACAGAACCAGTAACAGGACTGAGAGCTCTACAGAAGTTTACTGAAGCATATGGCAATTTGGTGCTGTGTTCATTATGCTTGCGGAATAGGTAAGTGTGTTCAGTAGCAAATGCCATCCACTGCTAATGCGTTTTTGCTAGGATGCTCAAAATTTCCCTTAAATCATTTTCTCTCAAAAATAATTTCAAAAAATTAGCCTCTTGGGCTTACGACACCATCTAATTTTAATGAAGTTATCTGAGCCTTATCTCACTCTACTGCCTGCTTCCTTTTGTCCCATTCCTTTTCTGCCAGTGCAGCTGCTGGCTTCATTTGAAGCTACAAATCATAATACAGGTAACAGATTACATCCGTGTTAACGAGAAGGGTATTTTATGTGAAGGATTAAACCTACAACTATTTTTTAACAGTAATAATCGGCACTTTCATAACAATCTGTGTGTTTAATGCCTTCTTGGGTACTTCATGGAATGTTTCTGTAGTGGCTCTTTATAAGCATTTCAACATACTTACCTGACTGTACAGATAAAATACATCCTTGCAAACTGTCTGGGTTTATTTACTATAAGCTTGCTATCTCATTTTATTTTGGGGGCTCAGAAGAAGATAAAGGCTTGTAGGTAAGTTACAGGCTTTAAAGTCAGGCAGGTTTTACCTCAGTTTAGTGTGGTTCCATCCCCACATTGAAAATGCTTTAATGAGGTTCTGATTAGAGTCCAGCACCGTTTTTTCCATCTTCTCAATGTCCACGTTGTCTTTAACTAAAAGCCATACCAAGCTTAAAACTGGATTATGGTTTTAAAGCCTTGCTCCTACTGAAGTCTTTCCCAGTAATATACCCAGTCTGTCTTTCATCTGTACACTTGAAAAAGGGATGGTTTACCCAGTTTAAAATCAAAGTACGGGCATATTCATCTGAAGTGCCAAGGGTGTTCTGAGCACAGTAGGAATGTTTGAGCAGAGGTCAATTATCCTTTGTTTAATCCTTTAAACCTACTCCTTTTTTATCTCTAGTACAGATACTTTTTATGGGCTTAATTCTGAAATGAAGTTACCTCTGGCATCTTTTGCCATTATGGAAAGCTGAGTTAAGTATCAAGTCTTTGAAATCCAGGAAGTAAGATGTTAAGACATTTTCTGATGAATGTTATTTCTCAAAGAGCCCACTCTTCTCTTCACAACACCCCTGAGCTAGTAGTACCTCTCAGGAGTTGGCTTGCTCTCTGACTGTACATACTGTCTTCTGTATTGCAGGACTGCATGGCAAAGGGATTTGGTGGGGTAGTTTGATCAGTATACTTGCCGTGGGAGGATATTGTGGCCCCCTTATTTAAGCATGGCCAAAGAGGTATTCCTTGAGGGCACGAATTAGTAAGCACCCCTTATCTTGGCAGTGAAGATGCTGGCCTCGGGGTTTATCCTGCCATGGCGAATATAAGGTAAATTCAGGCAAGATTACTGAATTTGGGGCTTGGCTTGCCACGGGGACAGTAAGAAGTAAATGCAAGGGAGACCAGTGAGGTGGTGACTGCGATGTGCTTATTACTGCATACTCGTGCTTGCCATTCTTCAGTGGTTTGTTCCCGTCTCTAAACCTCCTACTGAATAGTTCCAGCACAGATGTTTGCATGGCTGTGGAGTGAATCAGATCAGGGAACCAGCACAGCTAAAAAAATAACGCGCTGAGTAACTGCTGCCTGCGGTATAGTCACAGCTCCAGTCTGAGTCCTGCACGCGTTCTGTAGGGCTTTTATCTCTGTGAAGTACTTTATGTATATAAAAAGTAAAATTTTGCCATTTGACAAGCTATCCTGATACATTTGAAGTAAATTGTAAACCTGGATGAACGTGGGTTGGTCTACAGACTTCCTACATAACTGAGGAAGAGCACTTTGTGAAGTTGATTTACAGTAAACTGGAACATATATTTTGCATTATTCTGAAATAATACAGTAACAACCTGTAAAGAAAATCCCTAAGTGTGATGTTTGTGAGTTGAGGTCTTAATTGTTAGTCCAATATTTTGAATCAAAGGAAACCCATGATAGTTGTCTGAGAAACAACTGCATTATGCTTGTGATGCTTGAGGATACAGGTGTCCCCTTATATGCGTGACCACAGATAGCTTTTTTCTTTTTGTTCTTCTCTTTGCAGATACCTGGTTATCTCTGAAAAGCTAGAAGAAATTAAGTCTTTCCGGGAGCTGACGTGTTTGGATCTTTCCTGCTGTAAACTTGGAGATGAACATGAACTGCTGGAACACCTCACTAAAGAGGCTCTGTCTAGGTACCGATTTCTTGACAAGTAGTTAAAAGTGACACTTTCTTTTCTTGTCACTAAGCAGTTCAAAGAATCAGGCTGTGACTTTAAAGGGAAGTTCCATAGGCAGCAGTGAGTAAATTTCAAGATTTTGGTTGTTCATGAAACCCATTCTTGAGGTAAACAAAATACAGAATTTAGTGTACACAAAGCACATACTGAATTGTAAAAGACCCTACAAATGTGCAAGATAATTTATTGTCTCCTGTTTTTTACATCGTCTTTTTATAATTTCCACTAGGCAAGTAAAAACTGCATCTTAAGCATTTAGAATTTTACACTTTCATTTCATTTTTTAAGAAGGAGACTTATAAGCCACTTTTTTAACCAAAACAGTGCTCCAGATGAAGATTTCTGCAAGCAGTAGGTTGACTATTTAGTTAATTAACATTTTAAAAAATAATTGCAATTTTGTTTGATACTAAAGATGAAAAAGTAAAAAATTGGAACTCAACAGGCAGGATGACTGTTAATTAGAGGATATTACGTCACTGTAAGATTTCAGTGCCTTTTGCATCAAGGTTATTGAAGTGCTCTGGAGAACGTTTTAGTGTTACGTTTTTCCCCAAGTTTTGTTCATCTATGTTATAATAACTCACTGTTTACTTAAAATCATTGCATTATCTCTTACTAGATCTGTCCTCTCCCTCTTTGCCAAGCATTTTTCTCTTTTCTGAGTGGATTTGAGATTCGCAGCCTTGATTTAAAGAACTTCACCGTACAAAGAACCTTATTGTGTCTGTTAGCAAATGCTTTTGCTCTAGGATCAGTTTGTTACTGGGAATAGTTTGTTGCTGGTCAAATTAAATGCTTCTGTCGAGCTAGCAGAGGCAATATAAAGGTATTTTAGTCCTGCTCACCATCTTCTTTCTTGCTACTTTTTGATCACATTAACAAAATAGATTGAAGGGTTGCCAAAGGAAGACCCCAGCTTTCTGACACAGAGTTTTAGGACATTCTGCAAAACTAAAATAATGACTATAAACTATGTGTTTAAATCTCTCTCCTCACAGCGTAAAGCAGCTTCTCCTGAAAGACAATTCTTTATCTGATGCTGGCCTTCGCAGAATGACAGCTCCAGTACGAGTATTGAAAAAGGGACTTGAGAATCTTCTGGTGTTAGACTTGTCTTGTAAGTACTTCATGGTTGAATATTAGAAGTAACCTATATCCTTTCTGATAAAGAATTTATCTTCCTTAATATTGAAGGAAGATAATTTGGTGATTTCCATGAGCCAAGTACTCAACACCAAATGTCACCAACAATTTGCCAGAAGGCACAGGTCATACCTGTAATCTCAGCCACTTGCTACTTACGTAAATATTTTTAATAGTTTGAGAACTGATATTGCAAATACTTCTATTTTGATCATTAGAGGGGAAAAAGTCAGTTTTGACTCACTTTCAAAACATGAAGCATACTACAAAAAAAGGCCCAAACCCCCTTGTTTCAATGTTAGCTTTTGGGACAAACAGTATTCTGATCATCTTTCTCCCCATCTTGCAACTCAACTTTACTTGGCTTTACAGGTAACCCTAAAATCACAGATGTGGGAATTGGATACCTTCTTTCTTTCAAGAAACTGAATTGTTTGGACATTTCTGGGACAGGTCTCAAGGTAGGGGAAAAAAAAAAAAAGCATCTGTCAAGTGTAGCGGACAAGTGGAATCAAATGTTCTTCCCCTCTGACTACTTTATGTCCCTTTTCACTAGGACGTGAGCGCTGTCATTAAGCGGATCCAAACGCAAATAGGCCTGGTTCACTCCAAAGTGCCTCTGAAAGAATTTGATCACAGTAACTGCAAAACAGAGGGATGGGCAGAACAGGTACGGGGCTTTATGTCTGTTTCACTCTCTAGAAATTGTCCTTATGGAGTATGAAATCACCAAATAGGAAAGAATTAAGAGGTGGTGTCATTTCTAATGGTATTTCTGAAAATGTGACAAGATACGTTTTAACTTCTTCACATGTTATTTCAGACCATTCTGCAGTGGGAGCAGGCAGTTATGGAGACCATCAAGCCACAAGACAACTTGAGAACAGCAGCTCTGCACTTCTGTACGTAAGGGACAGAGACCAACTAGTTTGTTTTCTTATCTATAAATAACAAATACAAATAACAAGTACAAATAACATCTCAGATGTGCAATTTCAGCCATTTGTGTAACTGTATTACAATGCGTTTGAGTTTTTCCAGATAAGTCAAAGTACAGTGTGGCAGCATGCTTAAGGCTACATGTAACAACTGAGTTTTTTCCTTAAACTTTTGAGTCAAAAATATGAATGATCATTTTTTCCCTACGCACGTTTCAGCAAGGCAGTCAGTATTCCAGGTTGTCTTGGCCAAGAAAATTTGCAACACAAGTACACATTTTACAGCATAATTCTGTTTTACCTGAAATCTAAACTTGATTTTTTTTTCCCTCCCTGTAGATGGCAAGACACACAGAATACAGGAGGTAGTCAAATGCAAGCTAGTGGAGGCAGAAACAAAAGCATGTGAAAGCTTGCAGTTTTATAAGGAAAAAGTTCAAAATTGTCATTTCCCTTTGAAAAAGGAGGTTGCAGGAAGCCATGACTTAAAGAACAGTAAAAAAAGAGCGTTGGCTGAACACGAGAGAGAAAGGACTTCCAAACAGAAGCATCTGTGCCTCACTGTGGAGGACTGGGATTTGTTAAATACCTACTGAGTCAGAAAAAAAAGTGGGCCTTTTGTTTGTTGTTTTCTCGCTGATGACAGAATTTAGGCATTGAGAGGGAGTAACAAAGGAGACCAGTACTGTTAAATCTGGTTGCTGTGATCTGCTTGTGGGTTAACCTATGCTTGGGGAGGGGTAAAGGAGGCTGATGATACTATTGTATATTTTCAATACATAATAATTTTTTCAAATAAAGTTTTTGTTGTCATCCTTAACTAATTCTTCTGATGTAGATATGATTCACAAAACCAGCTGGTCCTATCCCTCCTCCTCTTTTGCCTCCTGAGGGGCAGAAGACTGATCACTGCAGCTCATGTGATGTGAAGCTGCATTGTGCTTTGTCAAGTGCCCTGGGACTTTAATTGCTCTGCTAGAGCATAAACCTCAGTCAGGAGGTACAGAACATAAACCCAACACCTTGGCCAGGAGGTACAGAACATAAACCCAACACCAGGAGCTCTGACAAAGGGAGGAAGCAAAGATAAGTGCAGGCCCTGAGGGAGGGAGGCAGAGAGGCAGTAACCCCTCCGTAACAGTTATTGCAGAAATCCAAAGTAGAACAAAAGACCCGTTTCTCTCTCATTTTAGCCCAGGAAATGAAAGCTGAAACTGGGTTACTGTAGAGATGAGACTCTTCAGTTGTAATATGTTCTCCCTTATAAGCAAATTCACTGCGTTTCAGAGCATTCTATGCTTTAAAACCCATTCTCTGGGAGCACACATGCCTGCAATACACTAACCGTGCTTCCTCATCGAAAATCATTCCGGGAAGTTTCTAATTCCAATATGAATTTTGCATATTTTCTGTAAAAACCTTGAATACTCAGAGACTCATTCTGTGTTGATCTGCCTGAAGCCAGGAGTGCTGCTGTAATGCTGCAGGTGAGTTCATCACTGAATTCCTGCCCTGAGTGCATCCATCGGAATTGGCTGCGGTGCAACAGTGCTCCTGAGTTGGGCACTGCGACCATCATCATCGGGCTCTGAGGCCTGTAAGGCCAAGAATTTACTACAGGGTGTCCTCTGCTAGTGCATATTTAGAGGATACCTTCTTTTTACACTTTTTTTTACCGTAATTCAGCAAGCAAGAAAAGCAACACATCCTTGGAAACCATGGAATCATAGAATGGTTTAGGTTGGAAGGGACCTTAAAGATCATCTAGTTCCAACCCCCAAATGAAGAGGCCAGGAAACAGAACTTCACCTCAAAAATGCATCAAGAGCTAAACCCCTTTCTTTATTCTTTCATTCCTGAATTTTCCTCCAAAAAAAGGACTACAACACAAACAAAACAAGCCTACTTGCATACAAGCCCTACGGTTTTTTCCCCAGAAACTCAAGGCTATTAATAGCTTCCAATGACGACTACACCAGCCCTCTGCTGAGACAAATAATGGCACAAAGAGTGACTTAGCAAAGCAGCGTCTCAACGGGGAGGAATATGACAGTGGCACTCAAGTATAATCCTCCTCCTGCAGCTGCCTTTTGGTTCAACAGCCACCACGGATTTCTTTCACTAGCCCCTCCACCACCGTGGAAATCTGCTAATCTGATCACTGAGAGGTGCACGTCTTGGAGAATCGCATTCTCAATTTCACATCGGTAAAGCAGCTGAGAGCTGATGGCTTGAGCTGGAAAATAGGCACATCATGGTGTGACATGAGTGCCCAGGTCACTGGCCTGTTGGTAAAATAATACAGTACACCTTTCCTTTTCAGGAGAGGTGTTTCAGAGCACTGTGTTTCTTGCGTTCTCCATCCCTGGTGCAAACATTCCTTTTCTTAGGTTTCTTGCCGACTTCCTCTTTTAAGCACACCACCGTGTAAATTTTATCCTAGGAAGGCTTAGACACACTTACCACTGTGTCCTCTGCTTATTGCTCTCTGTAAGGCACATGCTTCTGCTGACCAGGAGCAAGGCAGTAAGAAAAAAATTACAGGAGACTCAACCTGAAAGAACTAAGCTCGGCCAAGGGCTGCTTAAACTGCCCACTGCCTCCCTGGCAGTTTCCAGGCTGGCTTCTGAGTCTTGCTGCCACCTCTTGGCTAGCCTCTTCACAGATGGAAATCCAGAGCTGGAGAAGTTCCTGGTTCCTCTCTCCCGACCTGAAGCCATTAATCCAGCTCCAGCCTCCCAGGAGCACTCGCTGCAGACTGATACAGGGACATCAGCCAGAGAGCAACCCTGAGGCTCTACTCCACAGGTACTGGGTGGGTCAGCTCCTCCAACACCAGTAAACATTTACTGGCTATCTAAGATGCTGAGATCACATTCCTGACCCCATTTATTTGTGGTCCAGCCCAAGTACAAATCCAAAAGATGACAGAAAGGGAGAGGAAGACTGTGTTTGGTTTCTTCTTTGCATCATGGATATCCTCCATCTTGGAGGTGTTGGCTCAGCCGGATTTTGGTGGCAGCAGAGGGGGAGCT